ATGAAAGGAGGCAGAAAAGAATGTTCAAGAATATGGAATTTGTTGTGAAACTCAGGAAAAATTTGAACTTTTTCCGATAAAAGGCAAAATGGTAATTTGTCACTGTTATGCGAGATTAAAATCAATATTTTCTAGAGCTCAGATGAAGCAACGGATCTCATCATTGGATTCGCATCGCGAAATCGAGCAACCCTGTCAATTTTCGTCGAATTCAAAGATAGTCGAGTTTTTTTACGTTTTTCGAGGCGACGAGCGTCCGGTGATCCCCAAAAATAAAATTTTTATAAAAATTTTAAAAGTTGAAAAATATTTTAAATAAAGTTCATATAAAATATTTTGAACTTAAATCGGTACGAAATTTAATCGTTTCAGGGTGAAAACAGACCCGGACAAATGACAACACTTGACGCGACGAGGGCCAAGTCTTTAAAAAGTATAAAAGTAGGCAAATATCTGAAAAATCAGATGTTCTCTCTTCATTTGGCCGGCTGGATCAGACCTAAGAGCAAAGAGGGAAAAAAATAATTCTTCAAGCTTTCTTCCACCGATTTTCAGAGTTCCGTCGGTCGAAATTCGTCGGGCCAAGAATTAAAGTCGATCTACGCGACGAGGGCTACGCGTGGGTACCAAAAACAAAGATTTTCACCAAAGATCCAAATGGAGGATTTTAGAGAAATCTAAGTTTTGGACTTGAATCTTGTTCTTGAGATTTCCTACGAATTCTTTACGCTTCAAGAGGTAGGGTTTCTCCTACTCGGACCTATTTCTAACCTAAGGTGTCTATAGGGTTCATGTGGGCTGTTTTGAGTATTTTTAACATTTTTCCATTATGGTTGGTGTTATGAAAATGGGTAGGATCAATTCTAGTGTGAATTGGTAGTTAGAAAGTGCTAGTTTGTGATTTCTAGAATGTTTCGATAATTGGTTATGTAAAAATCATATATTCTGATTTTTATTTTGTTTGAAATGGTCCATATAAAATCTTGGCTTGATTTTGGTATATAGAAGTATTTATGTAATCCCTTGGAAATTGGGATCATGTGGGCATGTTTTGTGCTTTATGTTGTGCATTGTCAATGAAATGTGATATTAGCATGTATTATGTGTTATCATGTTGATGAACTGTTGATATATGCTCTTGAATATTTTGAACTTGAAATGGTTATGGTGATTATATGCAAATGATATAAATTGTCATAATATACATTGATATGTAAAAATTGTTCATTTGACATGCATTGTAATATGGACATGGAATTGACATTATATTCATGGGCTACATGCATAAGTGTGGGTGTAGGGTTGCATGGGGTGATCAACACCAACATTAGTGCTTGATGGTGGGCTCGGGAAAGTGGGATGGAACGTCCTACGGAGTCGCACGGTTACATGCATAAGAAAACTTGTGTCGGGTATAGCAAGTAGGGCTAGATACTCCCCCAGGTGAAAAACACGGCCACTTGGTTCATACACTTACCGACAGTGAAATTCCAAAAAAGTGTAATGGCGTACGGAGCCGGAGGTGCGATTCCTGAATCCGATACCCCATAAAGGCACATGATTTTGATATATAAATTATTCATTTTATGGGAAACATCCAAGAATGAAATGGTTTTATGACATATGGTTAATTTCAAAATGATCTTTGGATGTGTTTCATCAAAGACGTTGTTTTACACATATGCGTTGCATTGTGTTGTGGGAGTCGGTAAGGACTTGAGTTAAAATTGCATGAGTGAGTTTCATCTCATTTCATTACATGACATAGTGAATTCCAATATAGAGTTGCATATTCTTACTTGGATGTTGATGTGAATATGAACGGTCAAATGTGAACATTGCATGTGCACTTAGGTGGGGAGTAGCCCTTATAGGATGTACTCTACTGGGCGTTGGCTCACCCTATACGAGAAACATTTCAGGTACGGGTCATACGCCAAGGAACAGCACTCACTCGGACACTCAAGGAGGAAGAAAAGTCGACTTGTGGCTTCCAATCCATTTCTTTTGTAAAAATTAGACTTGTAATTAAATTTTGGCATGTAATGTGTAAAGGAATTGTAATAGAGTCTATATGGACCGTTTTAATATAGTCTTGCATGTTTGTATGAGTATGGATAATTGGACCCGGTGTGGCCAATGTTTACTTATAAATGGACCCGGTGTGGTCATTGTTGAATATTGGACCTCGGATGGGTCTTATTATTATATAATGCACATGTTATATTTTGAGTAGAGTTCCCTTTACAAAATAGACTCTGCCCAAATTTTTAATAAAGGATGGACCCGGGTAAATGGGACACAACGTTGAGATATCGAGTTACTCGGTACCCACGGGCATTCCGCAGGTTGATGGGTAATCAACAGACCCCCGGATTTTGGGGCGTCACATTTGTAGCCCATTCACTAGCGAGGAAACAAGTTGGAGTGATTTCTATCTCTATTTCAATAAGATTATCCTATTATTTATTTTTTTCAATGGTCGTGAGAGATTATTATATTTAGGGATAGGCTTACACCCAATTAGCTCAAGAGGATAATGGGAAGCTTAAGAGATAGAAGATAAGTTTTTATCATTTTCAGTCTCTATTCCATATTGTCATCTTAGTTTCATGGTTCATACATGTTCCTAGCTTCACTATAGAATATTAATATTAAAACCTTTTAGGTTGCGTTTGTTATCGTGCTTCTATATGTGGGAGTTCAAGAAAAATATTTTGATTTTGATCTATTGTGCTTCTCTTCCTCTTTGAGATGCTTTCATCTTCTTAGAGTTAAATTGAACAATGCAACTTATTTATTATGAACAAAATATCCTATATTAATCTGTTGTTGCAATAAAAAAAATTGATGGCATAGTTTGTTTTTGAAATTGTCTTAGATTACCTATTCTAAAAAAGGACACAAATGGTATTTGGAATCATTGGTTGGACCTAGGGCAGAGATATAGGTAAAGTTTACTACATCTCTTGTGATGATTGTTTTTTTAGCAAGTTCATCTTGAGATGAATTTCAACCTCCATGACAGTAATTATTCCATTATTGAATTAACTCCAAAAGACAAAAGAAGGATAAGAATAAGAAAGAACTCAAACAAATTATAACACACTCTCATGTATAAATTGAATTTATTTCTCATATAGCAAAATTTGTTTTCCCAATAATATAAGAGTTCCAAATTACAAACTCCTTAAACTTTCCCGTCTTGTCATTTAATCACAATTACTTCTTAGCTAATTTTTGCACTTTTGAATGAGTTGTTGCGAGATCTCTACCCTATGCGGAGGGGTGCTCAAATTTCTGATTATTCGCAAATTCTGACCCTACACTACCCGGCTCTATTGATCGGCTACCCGAAAGAATCAGGTAAGCCAACAAAAGATTTGTTGATATTCCGTAAAAAATTGGGTAGGAATGCAAAATAGCTATATGTGTGTGTGTGTGTGTGTGTGTTAATCCCTAAAAATTAAAATCCAAAAATTTAGAAACCCTAATGTTTTATTGATACTTATGACTTTCTGATATATGATGTATTGATGTTTTATAACTTTCTTATTATGTTTTATTGTAATTGTTTATATATTATCGAATTTATTGTGTTTTCCTTAGTGTTATTGGTTTATTGTGTTAGTTAATTGATGTAAGTTACTTAATTAAATTGTTAAAATGATTCAAAAATTAATAACTAAAAAATATGTGTTCATCGATTTCCTACCCGACTTCCTACCTAATTGTTTTGGACGAAATTTGAGTAGAAATAAAAAACTTGATTGGATAGGGTAAGTCAAGAAAAAATTCTTCTATAAAGTATCGAATAAAAAAATAAAATACCATAATTCCTTTTCGTAGGGTAGAGTGAACACCCCTACCTATACCTATTCATTTAAAGTGTGTTTGGTAACATTTGCGTTTTTACGTTTTTTTTATTAAAAATAAAACAAAAACTATCTTTTTTTTGTGATAAAAATTGAAAATATAAAACATGTTTGGTAGTCATTTATATTTAAAAAATTATAAAAATAAAAAAAAAATATGTTTAATATTATACCAAAAATTCATCACTCAACACCACTACCAACCTCCAAACACCCAACCACCAACCACCACCAAACACCCACCACCACCACCACCACTGAAACCCACCCTCTAAAAAAAAAGAAGAGAAGGGGGTTTTTTATAAACTCAACCAAGAAAATTCATTTTTTGTTGCCATGGGAGATCAAAACTAATATCTCATTAAACCTCCTTTTAAATCGCGCGTTTGTTTTTATTGTGTTTGGATGTTTTCAAAAAATATCATTCTGGATGTTTCTATATTTTAGCCTTGTTTTCAAAATTGAGAAGTTAAAAAATGAAAACAATTATTAAACGCTTTATTATTATTATTTTTTTTTGCCATAAAATGAAAAAACAAAAACTCGAGATTACCAAACGCTATCTTAGTAACTCATATTCAATATGAGATCCTCAAATTTATCGGATTACCAAGTCTTATTAAGAAATCAAACTTCACTAACATCAAAATCAATTTTAATAGTTTTATAATTATCAACGTATATACATGATTTTAAAAAAAAGATAAAATATATAAATAATATATTCATATATTACCTTTAATAGAATTATAGTCATGTTTCTTTGATTCTTTTAATAAGGTTATTATTTATAATATAAAACATGACAGATTTTAATAAATTTATTTGACGGTTTTAAAATAAATTCATTCAACGGTTACAAATATTCCTCACAAAATTAAGCACATTGAGTTCTTTCTCTCCAAATTCAATACTTCTTATTTACACTATACCGTATCTTTACACGCAAATTACCTCAAATAATTTATGCACACAAGCATACATTAACTAATAAATTAAAAAACCATATTGTGTACTGCCATTCAATTGTCACTTCTTTTATCACATGACCTCAAATAATTTATAATTTCAATGTTGTAAGCACACCCACCCCTCTCTCTCTCTCTCTCTCACACACACACTTGAGTCCTAACGCCACCTTAAGACTCCAACAGCCAACAGAACCCACTTGGATTTTAACAGTAGACTCTGCTTCCTTCGCCCCTGGACGGACATTCCCAGGACTCTCTCCCGCTATATATTACCCGAATCATTCACTCCCTCCCTCCATTCTCATTTTCTCTCTCTAAAATCTCTCCCTCTCTATACATATATACAGATATCCAATGGCCTTAGCTCCCTCACCACTTTCAAAATCCATCATTTGCACCAAACCAAATTCAAAATCCCTCTTTTCTCTACCCACCTCACAGAAAACCCATATCAAATCTCGACCCTTCATTGTCCGAAGCTCCGTCGCTGTTGCTCCGGCGTCAACCACTGCATCGAAAGCATCGAAAGTAAAATCAGTGAAGGCAAGACAGATCATAGACAGCAGGGGCAATCCGACGGTCGAGGTTGATTTAGTAACCGATGATCTGTACCGATCGGCGGTTCCCAGTGGAGCCTCTACAGGGATCTACGAGGCTTTGGAGCTAAGAGATGGTGATAAGAGTGCTTATGGAGGTAAAGGGGTTCTCAATGCTGTGAAGAACATCAATGAAATACTGGGTCCCAAACTCATTGGTGTTGATGTCAGGTGAAAAAAAAAATATTCAATACAGTATAACTACAAATGTATCTGTGTGTGTATTAAACGAGTATGTGCATGTGTTCATATGCATTCGATTTCTGAGAAAAGTTGAGGAAAATAAAATAAAAGGGATGTTTGAGCCTCTACTTCAGCATTATTTGATTTTGAGGAGAAGTGGGTTATAACTCAAAAGGTTTGAGTGGAGGTTTCTAAGTGAAATGGGAAATTTAAAATGCAATATTTGATTTCCCTGCATTTTCTCGGCAACCAAACACCGAAATATATATCTTTGGTGATTTATGCGCTCAAATTTCATGATTTTAAGGTTTTATTGTTGTTTTTACGCATTGTTTGAAGCAACAGCATTCTATATCATTACAATGAGGTTTTGTTTGTTTGCTAAAACGTGTTAGCTGTTTTCCTTGTGCTTACAACATTGAAATTATGCTCAAATGTTGACATTGGGTGCTTTGATATTCCCATTTGATTGTATGCATTTGATGAAGTTAATTGAGGTTCATTTTGGGCTACAGAAGTACATACTGATATGGCTTGTATTGCATTTAACTTAGCAAATCAGTTTCTAACTATTAATAGATTAGCTTGTTGATTAGAAGCTATTTTACTTATTAGAAATGGGGCTTGGATACCTACAGTTAGGTTGTTAGAGCCGATACAGTATGCATTTTAAGAAATTTCAATTCGCCTCAGTTTTGAATTACTCTAGAGCAGGATTTTGAATTTTTATTTCGGAGTCAGGTGCTGGAAACAGTTTGTTAGAGCTAGGGCGATGGTGATAGCATTTTGGAAGTAGTTGTTAATGAGTTTTACTGGAAGGGGTTGATCGACTATAGTATGATGATGCTACCTGGTAACTGGTAAGTAAGCTGTTTCTGATCGTGAAGTCCCCTAAGAGATGGTGCACTTTAAGAGAGACAAGAAGAGTGTAATTAGTTTGGTGACATGTGATAAGTTTATATTGATTTATGGAGTAGTTGTGTACCTAAGATCAAAATTTTAAATGGTTCTTCATTGTTGAATTAATGCAGATATATTACACCTGCTTCCTCTAAACCAATTAAGTTGTTGATACAAGCTCTTGCTTGATGTTGGTTAACCCAGGATTACCCATCCCTAAACAGTTGTAGTCTACTAGTCTCTATAACTGACTACTACCTCTACGCAGTGTTTCACTTGCAACACATGCAGCTGCACTGAATCTTGGATTCATGAGTTAAAATGAGTAGCTTGACCAAATCTTTCTTCAAATGTGCAACTCTTTTTCTTTTTTTCAAAATCTAATGTTTATATGCTTTATCATTATATTGTTGTCTAGTATACATTTCTAACACTTTTGCCTTCTGCCATATGAAGGAATCAAGCTGATGTTGATGCTCTTATGCTGGGCATTGATGGTACTCCAAATAAATCGACATTGGGGGCAAATGCTATACTTGGAGTATCACTTAGTGTATGTAGAGCTGGTGCAGGAGCAAAGGGAGTACCTCTATACAAGCACATTCAGGAATTATCGGGAACGAAGGAGCTTGTTATGCCAGTTCCGGCATTCAATGTGATAAATGGAGGCAGCCATGCTGGAAATAATCTGGCCATGCAAGAATTTATGATACTACCAGTAGGAGCAACTTCATTTGCCGAGGCACTCCGTATGGGTAGTGAAGGTTAGCAAGCTAGTTCTTTTCCCATTTGCCGTTCTTATATTTTTTTCCTTTTTTTTTTTTTTTTAATTTCTCTTTAACAATTTTGATATATTTGGAAAGGTCTACTCAATTAATGTCCTATCATCGTTGTGCTTCAATGGCAATTTCTGGTGGTCCTAATCATCATGCTTTATGCAGTATATGCACAATGAACTTGGCTTTGTTCAGCTTCACAGTCATTAGGTTAACATGCGCTTTTTAGGGTTAGGAGGGCTTAATTAAAGTTATCTTCCCTGTTGACAAGTTCAGTCCTTTAGTTGACAAATTACTGCAATAAGCAATCACAGTTGCTGAAGACACAGGAAAATAACCAACCTTGCTTTGTCAAAACAGTCTATCATATACTGAAGGGAATTATCAAAGCAAAATATGGACAAGACGCATGCAATGTTGGAGACGAAGGGGGATTTGCTCCCAACGTTCAAGACAATAGGGAAGGCTTGGTACTGCTTATTGATGCAATTGAAAAGGCTGGTTATACGGGCAAGGTAGGAGATGTTAATCCTCTTTATAATTCAAATTCAATTCTGTTGATCCTCGTCTCTTATGGACTAGGATTAATGATGCAGATCAAGATAGGAATGGATGTTGCAGCTTCAGAATTCCTTACAAAAGATGGAAAATATGATCTCAATTTTAAGAAACAACCAAATGATGGTGCCCATGTGCTGGCAGCACAGAGTCTGTGTGATCTTTACAAGGAGTTTGTTAAAGATTTCCCTATTGTGTCAATTGAGGATCCCTTTGACCAAGATGATTGGAGCTCCTGGACTACTCTACAGTCCTCAGTTGATATCCAACTTGTAGGTGATGACTTATTGGTAACCAACCCGAAGAGAATAGCTGAAGCCATTCAAAAAAAGGCCTGCAATGGCTTGCTACTGAAGGCAAGTACTGGTCATATCTCAGATTTCCTTTTCCATTTTTTGGCAAAACTGTTATGCAGTTGTTGGCTTCTGTGATTGGTTTCTTCTTTTAACCATTCCATAATCTAAGGACATAATTGGACAGGGAGATGTGTTTGGATTTGTTGCTTACTCCTTTGTAAAGAACTCAATATTCCATAATCAATCAGCTCACCCTATATTATCAGCTTCTTGCATGACAATCTTAGGGGAAAAATTGGTTGAACCATAGTAAATGGTATATACCCGGGGTTCTCTTTATACCTTCATACTATTTCGTAAATGCAGACTTTCTTTTATGCTACCTGGTACCTATTGTTCTGTGACTTCAGCTGAACTATAACATGTTAGGCTTATGCAATTGTCTACCATTTGGTTTCACTTTTTTTTTTTTTTTTTTTCTTCCATTTAAGGTTCTGAGAAGTAAAAAATGGTGAAATACACTTAAGAATAAATTGTTTTGGGCTTATGCATTCATAAGCTGATTTGCCATTCATACATTCATAGCTACATGAAGATGCACATGCATAATAAAATGAAGAAGAAGAATATCACTGGTAATGGTATGCCTGTATGAGTGGAAGTGTGGAACAGAAACAACAAAACCATGTTAACTCGGAAACATTTGGACAATTCACATTCATTGTAGTTCACAATTTTACTCTGTTAATTTCCTTATATTTGAATTTTTAGCAAATATATTCACAAGAAAAATCAAAGCTTTGACGATTGATCATACATGATAGAGTTTTCAGTCATGTATAGTATTAAGTGGCAATAATTTCTATTACCACAGATATTGGTACTGTAACGGTATTATTGATGCAGCACAAGTGATCTTAATGGTAGGGCTTATATGTTTACAGAGGTGGGAAAGTGATGGAAGGGCTTATGGACGGATATGGGTAGACATTGGTTTGATTGGGAAATTTTTTGATTGCTAAAATGTTAGGAAACTAGTTGTTGGAAATTCTGGATGGAAAAAAATATGATTTTTGGGGGTGTTCATTTGAAAACCAATAAGGTAGGAGAATGGTTAGGATTGATTAAGGCTTGACAGAGTACAGTTTGGCTTAGGAAAGAAGAATTATTCTGGGTTCGCACCATGAACTCCCCTGGAACAACATGCCAAGGTAATGTTGAAGAGACCCTACGAATAAACTTAAAAATTTCTAGGAGGATTAACCCTGTAGGGTAAAGTTGAAAAGTCTGACTTGCAAAAAAAAAAATTTGAAAAGACAATAAGAGTCTGACTTAAAATTCACTATGATTAAACTGCTAAAGCAAGGTTGCACCATAGAGGCATAGACATTCCCACAAGAAAGATACGACACATCATATACAGAAATATTAAAGACACTAAAACTTGTGGACCGAGAGAATTAATGGCCATGAAAATTTGGGGCGCTAATTTGATTATTTTGCTTTAATGGACATATCCTAAAATAAGACTTATGGGCTACAAGCACAATCCATTCCTTGCAATTACTTAAATACCCTTGAGTCCTAACTAGAAAGTAATATTATCCTAGAAACTTATAAATACTAAAATTAACATATGATAAGGATCGATTTAAGCTATAACCTAATTAGACAAGTCTTTTTGAGAGCTTCATGTGAAATTCTACTTTTGACCCTTTTCAATTCAAAATGCTTTGCATACACAACAGGGTCACGTAATGTATGGCACGGGGATCTTGACCCTTGAAACATTGCAGGTCAACCAAATTGGTACAGTAACTGAATCCATTCGAGCAGCCCTAGATTCAAAAGCTGCTGGATGGGGTGTGATGGTTAGCCACCGTAGTGGTGAAACAGAGGATAACTTTATTGCAGATCTTTCTGTTGGCTTGGCCAGTGGGCAGGTCAGTTGTAACCTTCTGCTCTACTTCATTTTAAGCATTTCTGTTGATGCTCAACTTACCATTGTTGGTTATTTTATGTAGATCAAGACTGGCGCTCCTTGCCGAAGTGAGCGGTTGGCCAAGTATAATCAGGTGAAAAATAAAAGCTTTCTTTCCTTCTCTTATTAATTTCGCCCGTAGAAGTTTTGTGAGGCCCCTCTCTCTACAGCATGAAATATTCTGACCTTAAGAAATGCAGACACATCACATTTCCTATATGGGTTTTTCTCTTCAATAGTGCTGATAAGTTGCTGTAGACTACTTATCTACAATGTAAACAGTTATGGATTAGAGAGATACCAGATTACCCGTACATCATGACAAGTGAGCTTGGGTTTCCACAGAAGCAAAACAATTTAATTGCTATAAATGATTTAATAAAAATAATTCTGTCTTGGCTTCTCAGTGCCTTATTAAAAGTCAGCCTTGTTGGATATTCCTAATCACATAATTGTGCCCACAGTTATTTAAGGACTAGAATTATCTGGTCCAATTTTAGCCCATAGTCCTACTGTGAACCACTGTCAGCTGTGTTTTTTTATTTCTTTATTTTCTGTTGGTTCTAGCATATCACTTTAAGGTGGTTGTTACACAAGCGAGAAACGCGTGCTGAAATATGATTACCTTAGCAATCTTTCAGAATGCAGAAATTCATACCATGTTGTCTAGTTATATTAATTCCTACTTACCACTGAATCACTGATTTCATCAATTATGGGGTGTTGATTTGGTTGCAGCTTCTGCGCATTGAAGAGAAACTTGGAAATGTTCGTTATGCCGGTGAAGCTTTCAGATCACCTTAAAAAGAGAAAGATTGACTTCTTTCAAATAGGAATAAGCACTGGATCAAATTCACACTATGCTACAAATCCCTTGGTCTGAGTCCAAATTGGGTATAGGTGAGATCTACAGAAGTTTTTTGTTGTTAGTTCAATCGGCATTGGATGTCATTTAAAAGCACAATTTTCTGATCGAGGGGGCATTAGATATCATGTTCTATCATCCATTAGAGCAGTTGTTGTCATGAATAAAGAAATCTACAGCTCAATATGTGCTGGAGTGCCTAGAGAACTGGTTAATGTGAGCCTGTCATTCAACAGCATGTGTGAACTGTTACTGGTTTTATTATCGTGTGTGCGCCATTTATTATGGTCATCGGATAAATCTACTGTATTTTGTAGATAATTAACAATTTCCATGGTTCTCTTCAGCTGAAAATGCTTATTCGAGTATGTGCATGTCACAATTGAATGACAATGACCTTCTTTCAGTCTATATGATGTGAAAATTTGTTTTCAACGACCATTATTTCTGATGGCATTTGCTCGTCAATAACAACCACCTTTTTCGATGGCAAAATGCAGTTTTTGCATCGGCAATTTGTTGCTGCAAAAATGTTTCTGTCGTGATATTTTTGTTACCTTTTTTTTTTTTTTTTTCACGACTGCTCATTTGCCGCAAAAAAAAATCCCCGTTGCTGCTGCAAAAAGTATTTCTGTGAGCACACTGATTGGTTGATGATAAAAAAAAAAGAACTGTGCTACGGGGCTGGCTTGAAGCATGGACACCGACTGTTATACCTCCTAAAAATCTGTTGTCTTAAGCTCTTAACTATGTGATGATTGAATGGTTTGAAAATTTAAAAAACACTCTGTACATTCCTAAAGCCGAACCACGATACTTCTCCCTAATTGTTGTAAAACCTTTATGTAAGCTGCGGTAATGGTAGACAACAATCTATATAATAAAACGAATAAGAGTTTGAACTTATGGGTATTTTCTTCCAAACTTCACACACCCAACACATACTTTCCTCTCTAAATTTCAAAAGTCCAACACACACTTTACAACACATAGCTGCACATACATACACACATTCCAATACACAATGCAATAATTCAATATACAGTTATTTTAGTCCCTGGATATCTCTAGTCCAAGTATATTGTAAGTTTTGTCACACAATTCGTTTCCAAGACTTGGATTTGAGTATTGTTGGACTTTGTATCGGACCAAACTGAGGCGCCGGTGATTGTGTTCGGCCCAGTTAGAAAAAATTCATATAGTATTGGACTATCTTGTTTTTGTCGAAATCATGCATATGTGGAACCCTATGATGCAAATTCTAATAGTAGTTTCTCTTAATTTAGTGAAAGCCTTGCATATGTGAAACTCTTGAACACATATACTAATAATAGTTTACAATTGCGAGACACTGGATATACAAAGTATTCATAAATTATTATTCTTCAAACGGCATCTTCTCTCTCTCTCTCCAACCACTGTGAGACAACAAGACTTTTGTAATGCAGATATGCGAATTTCGCTCTAGTTATATTAACCACAAGTATAGTTCATGATTGTTCATGATCATGAAAAAATAAATGATAAATAATAAAAAATTAGAGCATGTGAATTATTTTCATTTCGATTATCAAGTACGTTCGTAGTAAAACTTTAGCAAAAAGGTAATTTTCGAATCCAATGTACTTCCATATGTATGGTTATATTTAACCTTTAACTATAAAAAAAAAGTAAAAGTGACACTTTTGGACACAAAGTCATTATACAACTGGTATCAAATACAACATGAACTAGAAAATGACAATACCTGTTCATACAAAAAATAAAGTAAAAATTGTACATAAGTCCATTTTGGTGACCTATTTTTTCAATTAGTCCCAAGAATTTTTTAGGATAAATTTCACTGACATCCCTTTAAGATTGACCTAATTGCAAGACACCCCCCTATAATTTTTAAAATATCACTACACACACTGGTAGTTTATCATTAGTTTCACATAGTACCTCTACAATCATTGTCGTCACTAACATTTAACATAATCAATGATGTTATGTTATGGAATATATAACTGTGAATTACAAATTTTTTTTTTTGTTAAAAGATCAATTACCAATTTTACCCTCAAGTTGACTATTCAATTTTATTAATCATATGACATTTAATTTTATTAATTCAAATATTAATTTTACCACGCAAACACTATTTTCATAAATTTAACACCAAATTAGTATTTAATTTAGAGTTTAGTTCATCAAATTGAACTTCAATTTCATCAAATTGCATTTAATTTTATTAATTTAAATAAAAATTATTGGCAACACGAGAGTAAAGTATGAGCCTTGACAATAATTTTTGGCTTTAATTTTGAAATTTGAAAAGTGTAGGGTGTGATGGGTTAGCAAATGAAAGATTAATTATGTGTGTGTGTGTATATATATATATATAGTGAGCTTATATATACACGTGCATGTGTATATGTAGTGGGTGTGTATATGGTTGCATGGGGGAACACTTCTCCAACTCAAAAGCCACCTTATTGGGGAAAATCGGTAGACGCAAGGAATAGTGGAGGCTCCACTATTGCAAGTCTTCTACACTCTTGGGCTTAACTCTTGGCCTTAGAGATTTGTGGAGAAGAGAAGAAGCTTGAAGTGACCACTTACCTCCGGTGAAGACCTTGGGCTTGGGTGAGGTAGTGTAGCTCTTTGAAGGTAGATTTTCTTCTCTAAATTTTATCAACTCTTCTTGATCTCCATGGGAACTAGATTGACATAAGCATTGGGTGACTTTGGAAGGGTTTTGGGTGCTAGAGATAGTGATGGGTTGTAACGCCCCAAAATTCATCTTGAAAAACATTACTATCTACAAATCATCAAACCATAAAAGTAATTAAAAATAACCATTAAATAATAAATCATTCATCTATTTGACAAGGAATAAATTAAAGCTACTAAAAAATTGTACTTCTCCAACTTACAATTTGAAACCACAGAATATCTAGTAATGGAACAATAAAAATTAATTAAAATATTATTTCATAAAGATCTCTCAAACTCTAAACCATAAATAAAACAACTCTATTCTTCTAAGCCAAAGTCCACATCTTGATTCTCCAATGGCTTGTAACAAACTTGCTCATCTATATTGACATTCTCTTCTATGCCAAATTTTGTGAGTGTGTTGTAGGGGTGAGCAAAAACCCGTAGGAAAATTCTCTTAAATCCTAACAAGGTTTTTAAACACAATAAAAAGATGGCAAATCTCTTTTGAAAAATAACATATAAAATTTTGAGAGTAAAATCATAACAGTTGAAGTTTTGCCCTATTTAGAGGTCGATTTGAAATTTTTTTATAAAATACACTTTTATACTTGAAAGTTTAGTGTCTACTGTAAAAATTTTAGCTCAAACAGACATCAGGGGTGAAACGTTATGGTCTAAATACTAAGACAATGTCAAATTGTTTTCTACCTGTATTCTATCTACAATATGCTTTAACTTCGGAATACTTATTAACTTCTAATACACCCCATATTACCTCTTCCAATGTTTCTCGATCTTTTAAATTCAATGTAAATCTTATTTTGACCTAAAAATATTTTGAACTTACCTAGCAACCTTTCCCAAGCTTAAATATCTTCGAAACTTAAACTTTACAATCAATTTGTCCCTCAAAATATTTATTTCTACTGTTATAATCTATATCGTTTATTCTTACGTCATTACATATATTATAATCACTAAACAATTATATTACAATATTAATATAAACATGTGGGGGTTTACATGTTCAGCAACTAAGAAAAAACATCACACAATTTGGATTCTTACTTAAATTTTAAAATCCCGTTTTTAGAGGAAGAACAATGATGTATCGTTTTAGAGAGAGAGAAAGATGAATTATTTTTAACTTCTTGTGTTCCAAAAATAAAGGGTCATGCCAGTTAGAGAGAGATTAATGTGGAATAATTAAAATTAAGGATATTATTCTAAAACAGATTTTGAGTAACTTAATTGTGTAAAAAAAGTAGTGAAGTCTTTTTCTATCACAAGTGAACTTTTTTAAAAAATATTTTTTATTATTATTTTTTTTATAATTAAGTTTAATTTAATATACCGACTTTTAAAAGTCCCAAGTTTAGATCTACCCGGCCCAATAAAATTTTTAACGGGCCTTGCTGGCCCTGGCTCATGGACACCACCTAACTAGATGTGGAATGGATTAGTCCGTCATAGTTTATCTCAATATGACGCTGTAACGTTATCCCAATAAATTTTGCATATATAATCAGATTTAAAACGTTACAAAGACGCACAACACAAGAGTAAGTAGCTGCAAGAGCGAGAGAGAGACAGAGAGAGAGAGACAGGATGGTCGGGGAAGAGAAGAGGCATCAGATGATGCAAAACTTATTCGGTGACCAGTCAGAGGAAGAAGAAGAGGAAGAGGAAGAGGTCGAATCAGAGCATGAATCCAATCCACAGCCCGACTATGTGTCTGTACGGTCCCCACGCTTTGTGATATTCAACTCTATTTTATGGCATAAAAAAAAAATCGTTCTTGGAATGCTTTATCACTTTCTCGCTTGTTTGAAAAATACCCATTTGGCCCTAATCCCCAAATTGTAGGTTAATCTCTTCTCTCTCACATAGAACACACTGACACATGCATATATGTCCAAAATGGAAATGGGAAAGGAATGTATAATTTGAATGTTAGGTTGTATGAAAATTGAACCATGAGAATGAGATCATCTCAATTTCGAGTATATTGAGATCAATTTGATCAATCATTGAAGTTAAAAAAAATCGAATTTATGCCTTGAATTACATACAAAACTTAAATTTTGTCCTATGAAAGTTCGATTCTTAGGACGTAACTTTGTGTTTTTGATTTTTGAAGGAAGGAAACATCGATTGATTGTAACTATTTGAGTCTATGGGGGTGGAATCTGTTGAAAGTGGAAACGGTAGTACTTAGGGCTTGATAAGTCGAAGTGTGTAGTATAACTGGAAGGGTTCTGCATGTTTTGCTACATTGATGATTTAATGGTAACTGTCGTACTCAATGTTTCCAGGACTTAACTAAATGGAGTAAAACACAAAGCTTCTGCAAGTTTGATCTAAAAAATTTTCATTTCATGTTGTAAGTGATTTTCTTTTTAAGTCGCACAATGGACTTGGTCTTACATAGAGGGACTTGATTAAGGATACTTGGGTCTAACTCACTGAATTTAATTTTACTAAAAGTGTTTCCCTTTATATTTATATTTCCTATATAACTGACTGTATATTTGGCCAAGTTGTAAGCTGGTATCATGGATGAGGTGCAATCAAATTTATTGAAATGAAAAGTCAAGTTATAGCAATCTTACCCCACAGAGTCATCCATTAAATTGCTTGCTTTGGAGAATATTTAGAACACTCTTTTGGAGTATTTTGTTAGAAAGAGTAAGCAAAGTTTCTTCACCTAGTGGATGGTGTACTATTTGCTTGTTTATTCAGTTTCACTGATTAATTATTTTTAATTTGCATATAAATTTGTAAAATGTCTTCCTTTACCTCTTCTCCTTAAGCATGAAATGAATGTTGAAAGTTGAATCACAGTATGCACACTGACTGGCTGATTCCAACAGTTTTTTTCTTGGTGACAATTCCTTGTTCAGGATGAAGGGGATGGAGGCATGGAGCCTGAGGGTGAAGGTGAAGCTGAAGTTGAAGGTCAAAGGGAAGCAGAAGTTGAGAGCGAAGGTAAATTACGTGATGTACATCATGATATTGGAGAGAGTGAGGGTGAAAGAGATCAAAGTTCTCAAGAAGTAGAAATTGGTGATCCAAGGGAAGAAAGTGAACGAAAGTATTCAGATAGCGATGAAAGGGAAGAGTTCGGTCAACGAGTAGTGACAAGTAAAAGACGAGATGTAATTGACAGCGGATCAGAAAGATCTGAGGATAATCATTATGCTGAAAATGATGATGAGGATGTAGACCAGGCTAGAAGTCCGAGGTATAACTTGCAACCCCCTCTCCTTCTTTCTTCAAGACGAATTTTTTGGTTTCTCTTGCTCATTGCTATGTTCAGTTTATTTATTTTAGTTTGTATAGCCAAAACAACACACTGAGTTACTGAAATTTGAGTTCTGCTCTTAAATTTTTTTGACCGGACCTAGTTTGATTTTGGTATTTCTGCTTTTCCAAATAACTAAAGCATACCTGAAGCATTTAAAAATGTACGATACTTGTTTTTGATAATTTTCTTGGTAATGTTTCAATTTGTATATGGATAAATTTACCAATGACAACGCATTTCTTTAGTCTTAAACTTCAGAACAAAATCTAATGCAATCCACTTTATGAGGAAGTGTTATAGTTTACAATGTCAAAGAATATGTTGATTCTCGTGTAACACAAGCACAAGATTGGACAATCCAAACTTTACGAAGGATTTGAGTCATGCAGAATGTTGGCTTTCAAATTCTTGAGGTTTTTGGAATTTCATTTTCTCCAAGAAAGAGCTCTCCCAACTTACTGAAATTTGCAGAATTATGAAGTCGTGAAAAAGGGGGTTACTTTACTAGATTCATTACTTTCATACTCCAAGTAAAAGAAACCATTCTTTCTTTAATCATCTTCATAGCAGTTTAGTCGATGAATGTGTCTGTAGTTAGATTGACTGGCTGTGCATACTTCCACAGGGTCGCCAGTCTTTATTTCATCAATTTACCGAATCAAAAGGGGCCTTTACTCACTTAATATTCCTCGCTGACTGCTTTTACAATGAGTTTGTTGACTTGGTTGGAATTTTGGCAGTCATAGTAGATCATCTGGTGAGGAGAAAGATGAGGCTCATATTCCACAGTCAGCTCCTGAGATCCGTGATGTGTTTGGGGACTCTGATGATGAAGAACCAGTAGAATATGGTGCTCAGAATCATATCGAGGAAGATTCAAATGTGCGTATTAGATTTTAAAAAAGCAACATGCTTTGCCATTTTTATTTTATTTTGCTGCATCTTTTAGAATTGCCATTATGAAGTATATAGAAGTTTTCTTTTCTTTCTACAGAGATTCCCTATGGAAGAGGAAGGTAGTTATGAGAAAGATCTGATACTAGAGGATATGTTACCTGGTGAAGATGGTCAGTATGAGTCTGAAGAAGAGAACATTGAGGTTAAATCTAAGGAGAAACCAGTTGGCCCTCCCTTGGAGCTTGAGATTCCACTACGCCCTCCTCCAGCTCATCCAGATAAGGTTTGTCTCCATTATTGTCTGTGCGTACAGCAATATCTTGAACTAGAGATTATCATCTTAAATGTCATCATGCTTGATTCTGATTAGCATTCATCCCTTTGTCTTTTATACCTGTTCCATATTAGAGAAAAGATTCTTTTTGTGGTCGTTGACAACAAATTAAATTAGGTGGTTAATATTTTAAAGTTCAAGAGTGATCACTTATGCATATTTTATTTGATGCTACAGCTGTGGTGGCACCTGATGTTGATGGATATATCATTGAACAGGCATTATGTGAAATCATGTAGCATAAGCTTTTTTGACAATATTGCACCCTAATGATTTTTTATTGTAGCATTAGAGCCGAACTTTTTGTAGAATTGTGTGGCATATAATACTCATAAATTAGTGTAAAGTTTAGGAGGTGGGTCCATTCAATCCATTCACAAGTCAAATGCAATATATTGTCGGTGTTTCACTTTTGAGAGAAAAAATTCAAGTTTAGTAGCTTCCAATCCATGGTTCAAAGTCACGGTATCAGCCACCGACTCAGAGAGTATTGAGACATATCGGTTGTGGCATCGCGGCGCGATATCGGGTGATATGACTTAAAAGAAAATGTTGAACATGACGAGAAATTCAAGTCATACTGCGGCATCGTGGAACCATATCAGCCGATTCGTTGACAATATTTCGGCCATAGTTTTAAAATCGGCCCGGACATCAACCCGGCGAAGGGACCAAGTCAATGGGTTACTGGTTCAACCACTGTATTACTGATTGAACCGGTGATATAATAAAAAAATAAAAAATAATTATTAATGATGATAGATAGGTTAAAAAATTACAATAATTATAAAAATAACATATTTAATATATATTAAATCAAACAAACACTCAAAAAATATCAAACCAATATATTCAATTCCAATACAATTTGCCTAATCTGCTGTTAATCAAATAAAATATGCTCTTAATTGCATTGTTCTTGAAATTAACTTCATAAGAATTCATATCAGAGCAAACGACTGTCCACTGCCATAGAAGAAGACCAAGGAGAAAATTTGGAACAAGATAACCAAAGGGTCTCTGGTCCTCAACTAGACCATGTGACCAAAACTCTTACCAGACCAGCAACGTAGAACCAGTAAACCATAGAAAGAAGACCTCCAAAATTTGGAATAGAAAAGACCAATCAGAATATCCAGCAACAGGCAGCCATTAAAGCCTAGATCCAAATCAGATGAACCCCAATAGTAGAATCTGCTTGATAAAAGATCCCTGAGCACAACACAAGCATCCATAAACAAGTGGTTCATAAGTCAGGAGATGAACCAGCAAGAAATCCAGAAGAAGCCAGTGTACAAAGAAACCCAGTAAACTGAGAAATCTAGAAGCATTCACAATAACAATCCTTTCCCCCTTGTTGTTGTTTTTGATGTCTTTGTATGAAGGAGAAGATATATATATATATATATAGAGAGAGAGAGAGAGAGAGAGAGAGAGAGAGAGAGACAGAGACAGCGAAAGAGAGAGATGGTACCTGCTGTTGTGTCTTAGAGAATGAAATTCGTAGAGAAGGAGGGGTGAAGCAAATCGCCATTGAAGATCTAAACGAGTTTTGTCTTACCATAGTAAAATCGTAGTTCATTCGGTTATTTGAGTGAGCGAATCAGCCACATCGCACAGAGAGAGAGAGAGAGAGAGAGAGAGAGAGAGGGGACTGAATCGGGGTGAGAGGCTAAGAGTCATCAAACCTAAGACTCCACCGATGAGGCAAAGAGGAGAATGAGAGGTAGAGGCTCAGTCGCTTAGAGCGATAAACATCAAATTAGGGCAAAAATACCCAAAAGCCTGATTTTATAATATTTTACTTGATCCAGCGGGTTTGACAAAAATCACCCGGTTCAAAAGGTTGGGAGAAGAACCGTCCGGTTTAACGAGTTTTATCCGGTTTCTTTACATAAATGATCTAATATGAGAACTGGCCCGGTTTAGGCTCCGGTTCACCGGTCAACCCGCCAGGCCGGGCCGGGTTTTAAAACACTGATCTCGGTGACTCGGTACAACTTCGATGACTCGGTTGAGTCGTGTCAGATTCGGGATTTATACGTATCATGTAACGGTATCGTCTTTAAAGGTACCGAATCTTATTAGTATTGGTATCGGCCGACTCGTATCTTTATCCGCCGATACATTGAACCATGCTCCAATCAATTGCCATTACATCTAGCTACCTGTCTGACTTGTACTGGATTTTGATCAACCATATGTATTTTTTGAGTTTATGTAACCATGAAGTTTCGGCTCAGTTTCATCTCAAGAAGCTTCAATTCATGGAGATTAGAAAGCACAAGCACCCTTTCGCTTATTGTTGCTCTCTCTCTCTCTCTCTTTCCCACTATGTACATGTCCACACAAACATATGCTTCCCCATCATTATTTTGACCTTTGCTAAACTGAAGGACACATAATCTGTTTCTTGTCATGATAATCCGTTGCAGTTCATGTTTTTTGTCATGATAATCCTTTGGTGTTCATGTTTTAAGTAATAGTTGGAAAATAAATTTTATCTGTTGCATTTGACTGATAGCAGATGATGAGTGGATGGGCTTTGTGATTAAAATCTGTTAAAATTTGGATGGTTATAGTATTTGACTAATAATCCTTTCGCTTCTAACTGACCTTATTAATCTCCAATTATATGGATTGTTGTGGTGCCATTATTAAATAAAATAGAAAAATTAAGCATTCTTTCGTATTTCGTCAGTTTCTACTAATTTCAAAAGTTGTTAGTTTCTCATATTAATGATCCTTGATTTATCTATAATAAAGGCCGACTCTTGTCCAGTCTTCTTTTGGAATTCATGAATGGTACAGTCCCAGAAAGTTTGACTTTTTGTTAATTTTAGCATTCAGTTTGTGCATTCTTTGATCATCAAAAAATTTAATGGATATATCTTATCCAATAGCACAAAGTTCAATGGATATATCTTATCTAATAACACAAAGTTCATGAAGACATAAAACAGACCAATGACCCATATCACTTAGACTTACGATCTAATAGCTAATCTTACAACTTACATTTAACCATAGAAAGTATTTTAACCATCTTTACATTTTATCAGTCACTTGCAATTTAAACACCCAGTTATATTTGAACCACTCATTTGCATTTTGATCTGGGTGAAAAAAGAGTACATTGTATGGAGTACCCTAGTATTGTATATGCTATGAAAAAAATTACAGCTTGATTTTTGTGTCTGAGGAGCTTCTTGCTTGTGTGCTAGTAACTTACATAGGGTTTTTATCATGCATCTGATACATAAGAATGTTAATCTATTGGTATCAACAGTGACCAAATTTAATCCTTTATTTGTTTTTTGTTGCAGATGAACATGATCAAAGTTTCTAATATAATGGGCATTGACCCCAAACCTTTTGATCCCAAGACATATGTTGACGAGGACATATTTGTAACTGATGAATCTGGATCCCAAAGACGTATTCGCTTAGAGAATAACATTGTGCGCTGGAGGGCTGTGAGAAATCCTGATGGCACTACATCTGTAAGTGGATGTACGATGGGGTCTTCAAATTTTTTGAAAATGAATTGGCAAATTTGACGATGTTGATTCATGACCAATAACTTGGTTTGCTTTGGACTCTTATGTGTTAGGCTTGTTAAAAATAACATCATCATGTTGCAATGATGGGTATCCATTATGCATTAAGCTTGTGAAAGGTTAAAGTTTTCATAGGTCATACATGTAGTATCTAGTGCACAGGGCTCCTGCCTATAGAAGGTCTGATTTGGGTAAGTGCTAGGTAATGTTAACCCCCATTAAACTTGGGAAAAGTAATACCCCAAAAAATAAAATAATACCATTACCAGAAATTGTGTTGTGATATATTGAATTAGGCTTGTGAAAGTGGTATAAATATGATACTTCCTTTCACTATGATTGTTTAGATGTTATATATTTGTCATCTTTTTCTTTGTTATTTTAGCATGAAGTTTGTGCTGGTTGAAAGGGAGCAATTGTTGATTAGATATTAACAAGAATCAATCATTTTTCTAAGGGAGGGTGGGTTTGAAATCTAATTGTCAACTATCAAAAGAACCGGAAGTGCTGTAGGTCATAAGTTCTTCACATAGCAAATGAGTCCTGACACAAAACAAACAAATTTGCTAGCACCGGAGTGATGACCTCAAACTGTGAACTTTGTAATTGACCTCAATACATCAGCAACATAAATCGTAAGAACAAGAAAGTTGATTTAATAGGTTTTTTCTGGATGCTATATATGTATATATATTTGCTTGCACTTATTTATTGATTATAAGTAAGTTGAATAGGGGAACTGGGCATCCCCTAAGTATACTGGAATTACACAAACCAGCATACTCCACTAGTCCCATGAATTGCTTTCTCACCCATTCTTATGGAATTTATCTGTCGTATTCTACGAAGTCCTGGACATCACCAGCTTTTGATCTTTTATCCATTTCATTTCGTGAGGAAACTCAGGACTGGAAAATGCACCAGTTAGCTGCTCTTAAATCTGTTATATTCAGTGCAAAGGAAGAATTCATATTAACAACTTGAGAATAGGATATAGTGTACAACTTAAGTACTTGCGGTGTATTGCTTAAACCTGTTTTGCTAGTTATACTTCAACGAGGACCATACAATTCGCTGAGCCACAAGTTATTATATATTTTTTTGTTATTATCAACCTACATCGATTTTGGGTTTCCTCGTCATCTAGCATTTGTGTTGATGGTGATAATGCCACTCTTTCTCCACCTACTGGGACCTTAGTCGTTTTTTTTTCTCCTTTTAATAATGTATCTCCTATTTGAACTCTAATAGTTAATATGACTCTTTTCATTTTTTTATTAGTATATGTTTGTTAAGAGAGTTTGTATCCCACATTGAATAATTCGGACTATCAAGGTTAATTTATATACTTGAGGGGCCACTCCACTTATTGTCAATTGGTTTTGGGTTGGATTCTATGACATAGTATTAGAGCTGGGCTTTGGGTGTTCAATGGGTCAAGTCTTTTACTAATTTGAATTTCTCAGTATGTATAGTTGATTGTTTGTTGTTGACCCCACGTGAGAGTCCGGATCCCAAGTGAGAGACGGTATTAAGAGAGGTTGGATCTCACATCGAATAATTAGGACCGCCAAGTTTAATTTATATATGAGGGGCAATTCCACCCATTACCAATTGGTTTTGGGTTGGATGCTCTAACAATGTCCATCTCAGCGTCTACATTTTGGCCTCTCTTGTTTTATGAACATGTTGTTTGGTTGCCCAGTCAGTTTTATGGAGTGAACTGCTCTTTTTTCCATTTTACAAGGCAACAAGACCATATCGTGGAGTATCAACTTAAGCAAATCAATAAGCTTATTGCTGTTATTTTGACCTTAGTCAATCCATCATAGGATAATTACTTGGGTTGAAATGAGGGATTTCATTGTCTGACAATTCTGGTTGCCCCAAATTGTGGCGAAGTCTTCATAAACTGCATAAAACGGGTGTATGGTATCACATTTTCCACAAGGCTTATATAGAATATGGTGCTGCATTGCATACTTTCACTTGTAACCTACAGCAAATTAATGCTTTTGTGTATTATGATTGTAGGACTTAAGCTCTTTATTGTGATTCTTAATCAAATTCATTCGATTTGAAGCATTTTTTGTTGATAATATGTCTTATTGTACTGAGCTGCTAGATTTTTCTGTCTTTATTTTATGTAACAACAGAAGTGGGAGTTCCTTATCTGCTGTCTGAGATGGTGTGGACTTGTAAATTTCATTTGGGGTGGTTTTCATACCTGACATATTTAACTGTGCTTTCTTATCTAGTATTGGATTTTCCAAATATTTGTCCTTGAAATTGTATGCCAGACTATATAATGACTCCGGTGCAGTTGCACTGAAGAACAACTTACTCTCTACTTAAATCGCTTTCCTTATATTGCTTGGCAACATCTTTTATTGTGTAGTATGAAAGCAATGCTCGCTTTGTGAGATGGTCGGATGGCAGCTTACAGTTGTTGATTGGGAATGAAGTTCTTGACATATCGGTGCAAGATGCACAGCATGATCAAGCACACCTTTTTCTAAGACATGGGAAGGTAAAGTCTCATTCTAGTGACTTATGTGAGTCTAAATTATGTTCTTTCTAGAAAGTGATTTTTGACTGTCCATACTTGCCGTGGAAGTGGGAAAAACATCAAATAATTATTAGGATGCAAACACCCCCGGGTCCACCCATCAGCTCTGCACCTTTTCTTTGTATTTTTTCTTGTTTCTATATCATGGTCTAATTTATTTATCTTCCATCCATAGTCATTGTGCCTTCCGTCTTCTCTCATGATAACTTAGGATGATTTGGGTGTTGTTTGCCAGTTTAAATTAATGTTTTTTTTTTTAATTTTAGGGTGGTGGTGAAGAGTGCAATTAGAGACATAGTTTTTGTACTTGGGGCAATTAAGATGATGACTTTCTTTTGGTTTATGTGGACCTTACGTATGGGATTTTGAATCATAATTCTGATCCAGTTAGTGGGGTATCCCCTGATTGAATGTGGGGATCAAAGGGAGAAATGTATTTCTCTATCATCCTTGCAATTTCTTTATTTAATTACTAGTGTCTTAAAACCCGGCCCGGCCCTGCGGGTCAACCTGGAAAACCGGTCAACCGATGCTTGAATTGGGCTGGTTCTTTAATCGGATTGGTTGAACAATTAATCCGTGAAAGAACCGCTTAAATCGGCAAGAACGGACAATTTTTATAAACCTGTCGCAAACTGGACCACTTGCAATCCTGGCTAAAGATGTGGTCCACCTGAATGAAGAGACGGTCCTCTTGGCTCCCCTCAGCTACAGAGCACGTGACATGCTTTCAAAGGTCAGCTTTTGGATAGTGGAAGAAGTTCCTCTTCTTATAAGGCAGTTAGACCTCATATCTTCTTGTGGTTTACCGATGTGGGACAATTCCCTTGGTTCTTCTTCTATTTTTTTATTACCTTTTATATATTTGAGCTATTTTTTTCTCTCAATTTTTTTTTTTTTTTTTTGGGTCATCACAATGTTATTCTTTATACCAAATATTCAATACTTATTAGTGAATTTTTTTATGCTCTATCCAATTATATAAAACATGTGTAAACAAATTAAAGAATTGAGCATATTTTTTGTCTTTCTATTTCATCTACTATAACATAAAACATATTATTTTTCTAACTATTGTATAATTTTAGCATATTTATTATTATAATTAATTATTTTATATTATTAATTATATGACCGGTTGAACAAGTGGCCCAACGGTTGAACTAATGACCAATTAACCTGGTCTCTTTTCCGGGTCAATCTCCGGGCCGGGTTTAAAAACTATGTTAATTACAAACTGGCTGCGTACGAAATTAGTGGTCCGTTATGATTGCAGTGGAGTCAGATCCAGTACCTCAATTGTTGGCTACATTAGCATCTGGGTGCTAATGGATTTTGATTTCACAACTTGATTCCGGCCTCCATAATCTTGCCATAGCGTCCTGAGATTCCTATTTGGGGCCCTTGTTTCGGTTTCTTATTTTCACTTGAACAATGCATGGATTTCACTGATCAATTATGCCAATCCTGCTTGCAAAAAATGCAGGGAATCCTCCAATCTCAGGGAAGGCTTCTAAGGAAGATGAGGTTTATGCCTTCGTCTTTATCATCTAATTCTCATCGATTGTTAACTGCTCTTGTTGATTCGCGGAATAAGAAGGTTTACAAGGTCAAGAACTGCATTACTGACATTGACCCTGAGAGGGAAAAGGAGCAAAAAGAAAAGGTTACCACTTAAAAATGGAGTGCATTTGTTATTTTCATTGTGGATCTCCGATATCATTGTTTTCTTGATTTTGTAGGCTGCAAGTCAGACAATTAAAGCAAATGAACTTCTTCATCGGAAAAAGGAAAAGGTGACTCGGAAATATACACAAACTGTACGCAGGGAGCGCCAGCTTTCGCCTGGCTTCTTGGAGGATGCACTTGATGAGGTTGGCTTTCGTTTTCTAGTTTTTATTAAAAAGTTCATACTATGCAATAGATGTATTATCATAAGTAGAAAGCCTGTTACTCTGCCTTCACCTGCCTATCCTAATTCACAGTTAAAGGAGGTTTTATTATTCTCAAAACCTTCAATCAACCAAGTCCTATCTCTCTCTTCTCTTTTCTTCGTATATACTTTGTGTGAGGAACTTTATTAGCCCTGTCTTATTGGGAGTGATGTTGCTGACACAATATACCAGAAAAGCTTTTTGATTGGCCTAGTAACGAGAACCCTAATATTTTCTTTATCCCATTTTGATCAGGATGATGAAGCAGATTATTATGAATCTCGACGCTCTGCTGCTCGACGTCGCTTTGAGGAAGACCTGGAAATGGAAGCTCGAGCTGAGAAGCGCATTATTAATGCAAAGAAGGCATATTACTGAGGCCTAATGGACAAATTGCATTTTTTTCCTTTTGAAAATATCTTTTCATCTTAAATGAAATTCCTATTTCAAATTATTAGTCTCAGGCACACAATGATACCTCGCGAAAGTCATCCTTGCCAGCTGCAAAATCATCTCGGCGCCCAGTGCCTTTCTCTGAAAGTGAGAGAGAGGAGTCTGAGTATGAAAGTGAAGGGGAGGAAGATGAGAAGTACCCACGTAGAAGGGAGGAAGAGCCAGAGCAAGATGAAGAAGATGAGGAAGAGTATGAGGAAGAGGAGGCAGCAGTAAATGAAGCATCAGAAGATGAGGCTGAGGTATGCTGCATATATTTTCCTCAAACAAAGTATTGCATGGACCTGCATATTCAGTTTACTAACTGTAGGTGGATTCTCACTTGTGCATACCTGATCACCATTTTTGAGGCAGAAACATTCCAATTAAGGACTAGAAGAAGTTCCAGATGGAAAAGTACTAAATGCAATTAATCTGAAGAACATTTCACTTTTTCCTGTGTAAACTGTAGTCACTGTCAGTTGAATGCAAAATAAGCTGCGTACAATCCAGTTTTGTATTGCATAGAACTAAGACGTCGTCTAGCGGTGCAGTTTATTGCTGCCTTTTATGGTATGGAATTGTGTTACCTTATAATGTGTGTGGATATATATTTAGTGAAGACATCATCAGCTTATGGTGCTGGCCGAGTTATTGTAAATCTTAATTTAGAAGCATAGCATGTCTCACCTTCTGATAGTAAACTGCCTTTCAAAATATGATATTTCTGTTAGAATACTATATAAAAAGAATATAACTGACCAAAATAGCAAATCAGATATTAATAAAGGAAATGTTTCGAATAGTCTGTAAGAGTTTGGGGCACGCAAATGCGCTTCCATTAGGAATGATTCCCTTCTGTAGTGGTTTGAATGTTGTTCTTCTCCCACGATAAAATGACCTTAAAGTTCGCTTCTGTGCAGCCTGGCAGAACTAACGACAGTTAAATACCATAGAAAGAATGCTTCAAGAAAGAAAACAATAATGGAGAAAGGAGAGAATTCTATATGTGCATAGAGTGGCATCTATTTGTTTAGTTGCATGTACGTAACTTCACTTTGTAGTTTCTTTTTTATATAGAGGTGTGTGCATATATGTGTGATGGTCTAAAAACCGACAAATAGTGAGATGGATGGCCAGTTAACTAGATATAATGGGTAGTCAATTGGGATGCATAGAATGCGAGGATTGAAGTGGTTCATCCTGCTCAAGAGCACGAGTAGTCCACTGTCTAAGGTGGGCTCTTGCTCCTAATGTGTGTATTGCTTGGGGAAGAAGAAGATACACAACATGGTTTCCTTAAAGGCAGTGTATTGGCTTACCCTTTTTACACAATAATCATTGCTTTATATAGCAAAATTTTCAGGGAATATTTGGTTGTTATGAAGCTTTGTTCCCAAGGTATGACATAACCTTCTAGAGGTGAATACCCCTTGCTCAGTTAGCTATGAAGCATGGACATTCTCGAGAAGGTGACATATTCGTGTCGGACACCGACAATCTTGGGACACTTCCATACATGTGTTCAATACTCTTTTATCCGTGTCCATAATTAAATGAAAGGATTTTAATTTTGGACACATGTCTGACACTTCTTTGATGACATGTTTGACAGTTTTTAGAATGTGTCTACTACTAAACAATAAACATGTGTTGAAATATAATTAATAAATTTTAAAATTTTGAGAACATAGAATTGTTAAAATTGTACTTCAAATATAATAATAAAAAAAATATGCATAAAAGTTAAAAAAAAGAGGAATTGAGAAAATGAGGGCAGTTAATTAAATTATATATTAGGTACACATTGTGTAAAAAAAAAATTTATGATTATTGATTATTATGGTGATGTTTTAGTTTAAAAATTCACACAAATAACTACACATAAGATTTACTTAACATAAAATACTGAATCTTTTATGCATTATTACTATATTTGTGATAAATTATATAATGTTATATATAAAATATAATTTTTTTATAACATATTACCAATGTGTCTTTGTCTTACTTTTTTGAGAAATGTCGTGTCTGTGTGTTCATGTCGTGTCGTATCCGTGTCGGTGTTGTGCTTCTTAACCAGTTAGGGTTTATTAGTGAAATTCCCTAGTTGCCCTTTCTAGGAGTTGCCATGTTGGAGGTCAAGCTTTAACATATGTCGTGATCCTGGAGGTGTGCGTTTTCCTGAAATGTTCTAGGACAACTCACTTGGATGACATGGAGATAGCCAATGACTAAATTTTCTTTTCGGTGCATTGTTTTCGTTACCTAAGAAACGGAAACGTTTCGACCCATTTCAATAACAAAATGAGAAAAAAAAATAAAAAATTTAAGAAATATTTTTTAAAAACATTGGTCGAAATATACCAAAATATCTTGAAATACTTTGAAACATTTTAAAATAATTGTGCAAATGCATTGAAATATAACAAAACATTTTGAAATATTGTGGAACACCTCAAAATATTAGAATTTTGATTTCATCATTGATTCATTTCGGTCTCTTTGGAAACAAAAATGTTTCGGATGTTTTGACTGTTTCGAAACAATATTTTGATCCTTAGAGACAGCCTATCTAACTTGTCCTTTATTTGAGCTGCTCGTTTTATTTCTGGTATCATCAATGTGTTTTGTTTATTTTGGGGTTATTGAAAACATAATCTCCCGCTTGTTTTGAAAGTATATTACAGGAGTGCTTTTACTTAGTAATGGGTGAAGGTGTTTTCAGATTGGATCCAGCTCATAGTGTTAGAAAGTTTAGTTTGAAGGAATCCTAGTGCACAAAGTCTTGAACTAGGTCCTCGAATTTGAGCATTCTCTTACGGACACACAATAGACCAAATTATATGATTCTGGTTTGGTTTTTCGTGTTGGTAGTTATGGGATGTTTCTCAGCCATTGCCACACTTATATAGGCGTGTCCTCCAAGAGTGATCTGTGAACAACACCTCCGCTAAAATCCTGCCTTGGACTCATTCATTCAGAACTAAATCTTCCTTAGACCCATCACAGTTGTGAGCTTTCCACATAGGAATGGACCAAGTAAGTACTCTAATAAATTGAGTGTTTCTCCTAGTCGCCCCATATCCTTGGTATTATGGATTGAGACTCTTTTATGGAATCTTTGATCGTTGTGTTTACTTGCCTATTTTTCCCTTGATGCTTTTATATTTAGCTCATGTGCTAGTTCTGAAACATTCACTGTCTCAGGGTATTAGTAGCTCTATTGCCTCATTTTGTTGTTGGTTTTAGGAGTAAATCACCAGTTCCCTGGTAGCAATATGCATATCATTTAATAGAAGTTTAAAACAACAAACACAATAGAAACAAACAGTGAAAAAGCTAAAATGGTTTTCCCCCAGTAAGTAGGAGAAGATGAAGCTGACATACCCGATTTGAGAGATTTCTAATTGCAGTCCTCTCAATGGCCGTGTATGCAAACGTGGGTCCATTTAATGTGGTGAAGACAGCATTGAGCAATAAATTAAAGACAGCCTAGATGGTAAAACATGAAGAAATTCACACAACAAATCTATTTAACTAAAAAGTTAACAAAAGCTGTAAGCATTTGTCATAATACCCCAATTAGAGTATTATTCCGATTCCACTGCCACCATGGCATAATGCACTCAGTATCTAACTGTATCAGATCTCTAGTCATAAACAAAGGTTGTGTCACTAGTGAATTACCACATCTACTGATGTCCCAAATATATGGTTGGCGAAATAATGACAAACGCACTTGGATCCGCCATCCTTGTATCATTGGAAGCATGAAAATGGTTGATAAGACTAGGATGAGTTTCATTGAAATCAGCAAGTTTAAATTCCCAAAGGAAGCTGTATATGGAAACTAATTCTTTTAAAGTCTCTTAATGATCTTAAATCACTTTCTTTACTAAATGGTTTTATTTATTTAATTTTTTATGACACTGACTTATTAATTTGTAGAATATTATTCATATGTCAAATGACATTAATAATCATCTACCCAGCCTCTTAATTCTGGCAGAAAATTGTAGCTCATATAATTGTTTCCAAACCAGTAGTAGAACACTGTTACCATAGTAAAAGAAAAAAATATCAATTAACCAAAATCAAGCGAAATATTAAAAGAGAAAAGGTTTAGAGTGGCCTGTGTAAGTGGTTGAGGCATGTGGAATCACACTTTCCTTAGGAATGATGCACTTCCTTTTGTACCACGTTGAATGGTGTTTGCTCCCAAAATGCGACAACCTTTTGTTCACATCTGAGCGGCAAAGCGTACCACTCAACCATCAGGAACCTATAGTTGCTGGACACTCAAATAGTACATAAAATACTTCAACAGAGAAAATCAACAATGGAGAAAAAGAGAGTTCTATGTGTATATTAACAGAGTTGCTTCTGTTCTTTATTGTATGTAGCTAAATCTGTGTCTTAGTTTCTTCTTTATTTTTAAATGTAGAGATGTGTATTAGCTGTTTTTATTTTTCTCGTTGATGGTAAGAGAGATATATGGAGAACATATGTGAGAAGAAACATATCAATGACCATTAAGAATGAAGGAAAAAATAACAAAATATTAAATTCAGAAACAACAGGTGCTCAAAAAAGTAACTCTCCATGACATATCATATCCTGATTCTTTTATTTTTTTGAAATTCTAAATTGGCCAGAATGGATTCTCAAATGATAATTGATTACTGCCTAAGCAGTTGCAATCTATGCACCCAAGCCTGCAGATGCAGCTCATAAAACAAACTGCAGTGCATACCTTGATCAGTGATGACCTCAATATGGATGACAAGGGGTCCAACACCCTTTTCTGGGCCTAGCCTGGAGTTCTATAAAAAAAGAAGCAACAATAAATGCAAACTGGTTTGTGAAATCATCAGAATATCTGATAAATATATGGTGCATCCTTATGAAAGTGAATGCTTTGGATGATTACCACGATGATAACATATGGAAAAGAAGATACATGCATAAGAGGGTACAGTGGATCAGTTGGGTTGAATTTTCTAGGATCTTCCTGTTGATACATCTGGTCATGGTTATATGTTATTTATAACGCAAGCAGTATGAGATGAATTATAAAGCACAATGAGAATTTATTTTTCTTAATTTATTATATTTAATTTCTTTGTTTTTTCTTTTGGAAATTCATTTAGGAGCCGAAGCACAGGGCTGGGGAGTCTGGAGGAAGTCTTAAACGCAAGGAGATCGAGTCAGATGAGGAATCTCTTCCAAGAAAAACTGCCACCCATCGCCGAATGGCAATTGTGTATGATAGTGATGAGGAATGAACATATGCTCCAGACAGGTATCTGATAAGTGAGTGTACATATATTCCTCGCATTTGTGCAAAACCCTGTTTTACAACTTTTAAAATGATCCTGGATGCATACTCGGAAATTATTTTTTTGGAGAACAAATATAATAAAAAATGTTACATGCCATATTTACTTGTACTAAATATATACACTCT